CCGGCACCCCGTTGTCGAAGCCGCCGTCGCCGATCCGGGTGTAGAGCACGTATCGTCCTGCCTGGGCGGTCGGTTCCAGCGGGTCGGCGACTGGCTGCCAGTTCAGTTCGACGCTGTCCCGCCCCGCGAATGCGATCCGGAAATGGTCGACCGGCAGCGGTTGTACGACGCAATCTGCTTGTACTGGATGCCAGGAATTGCAGGATGCCTTTATAAATCGCCCGTCTGACCGTAAAGCGGAAACGCGGGTCGAGGCCGTAACGCATGTCGGCGAAATTCTGGTGCGACAGCAGTTCGAGCAGCATGGCCGGCACTTCCGGGACGTGCGCTTCGAAATAGGCTTTGTCCCACATGCCGCGACGCGACCATTCGGGTTCGTACAACGCCTGTATATCCGATACGATCTGCGATTGCACCAGGTCGGTCAGTCGCGCGACAGGTCGCGGGAGGCGCCGTTCGGGTAGAGTCCGTCGTCTTTGTGCGTATAATAGATGCCCAACGTGCCGATGATCGAGTCGTTCATCGTCGTTCCGGCGTCGGAATGGAATGCCAGCGATAGGTCGACCGAATGTGCAGCCCTTCGCGGTCGGGGGCGTTCTTCGTCCCGCCGACCAGGTAGTTCACCCACAGGCCGCGGCACAGGTAGTCGTCGCGGTAGTCGTTCGTATGCCCCGTGGCCGAATAGACCGAATCCGGAAATCCCGCCCTTGCAGCCAGTAGCGCGCACCTTCGGTGAAACGGGGATAGCCGCTGGTCTCGTATGCGTAGTCGATTTCCGGATTGCGTTGTTTCGGCCGGCATGATCCGGGCGATGTTGCCCTGTCCGCCGCCGATTTTGACGGCGTCGGCCGTGACGACCGACCTGTCTATCGACCAATTGCCAGCGTAACGCAGCCCGATTCGGACCATCCCGCATCGAAATCGAAGTGCCCGAGGTAGATCCATGTGCCGCCGCCCATCGTTTGGTTAACGCGGAAACGGGTCGTTCCACCTTTGTGGCGAACCGTGTAGACCGCATCGTCCGTGCTGTTCGGCAATGTTTTATAGGAGACGTAAACGGCATACCGGCCGCCTTTCGGAATGTCGGGCGTCCAACGTGCCGTGCTGACGTCGTCCGGATGACCTACGGTCACGGCCTGCCGGAACGTTCCGTCGCGGAACGGGTTCTCGGCGTCCCCTTGTAGCTGGATTGTTTGTAGGCGAAGCCGGGCTCCTCGCCGGTCGTCCAGGTGTTCGTCCCGGTTCGCTCTTCGTAACGCGACCGCGCCCGCTATCGCCGGGTCGTTGTCTGCGATGCCTCTTCGGTCTGTACGTCGCGTTCGCGCGGCATCAGGACGTAGGCCCCGGCGTTTTCCAGCATCGGAACCAGGTAGGGCAGCACGTAGCTCTGCGTGTAGAGGTCTTCGACGATCTCGAAAATACGTGCCCGCTGCCACTCCCAGCGGTTCAGTTTCGGTTCGAAATAGTATCCGTGACTTTGCCACAGGGCGATGTGGCGTCCGTCGAGTCCGGCGGTCGGCCGGTAGGGCCGATTCGCCCGCGTGACCAGCGGCTCGGGCGATTTCGTGACGAAGCGTTTTCGGCTGCGGTCGGCTTTGCTGCGCAACGGGGCGGGGATCAGTTCCTCGATCCGTTTTCCGTCGGAGAACAGGACGATCTCCTTGCGTTTGAACCCGGCCGGCAGCAATTCTCGGATACCGTCGTAAATTCTCCGGACGTTGTCTTCGCGGAACGGGATGTAGGCGCAGTTCTCGCCGGCATAGAGTTCCAGCGTTTTTTTTGTCTGCGGCCACCGAGTCGATCGTAATCCGGCCCGAGCGGATCGTCGTGCGGGCCGTTTCGGTGAGCAGGTCCCGATCCGGTCGCGACATCCTGCGGGAGCGGCTGGGCTTGCAGCGGCAGAGTTGCCGCGAAGAACCCGACAACAGGAACGCAAGACGGACTGCGTGCGTTTTTTTTATGATTTTCATTTTTTTCTGATTAGCAGGCAAAGGCCTGCAAATGTAAATAATGCGTTGAATATCAAAAGTTCGTAACTGAACGAATAACCGTTGAACCAGGTTTCCGAGTGACTGTCCAGTACGAAACAGAGCACCGGAGACAGCAGCGCGACGAGCGGAACCCAACGTCCCGAACCGGGCGTTTGGTGAAAATGCCGAACGCGAACATGCCGAGGATCGGACCGTAAGTGTAGCTGGCCAGCACGTAGACGGCGTCGATGACGCTCGTGTTGTTCAGCACGTTGAAGATCAGGATTACGACGCCCATCGTGACGGCCATGCCGACGTGCACCCGCTTGCGGATGCGGGCCGTCCGGGTTTCGTCGTGTTTTTTCGTGCTTCCGAGAATATCGACCGTGAACGAGGTCGTCAGCGAGGTTAGCGCCGACCCCGCCGCCGAATAGGCTGCCGAAATCAGTCCGAGCACGAACAGAATACCGACGATCACCGGGAAGTAACCCTGCGTCGCGATCATCGGAACAATTCGTCGCTTTTCTGCGGAACCTGCAGGCCGTTGCGTTCGGTGAACGTGTAGAGCAACACTCCGAGCATCAGGAACAGCAGGATCACGAACAGCTGCAGGATGCCGCTGGTTACGATGTTTTTCTGCGAATCCCGGAAATTCTTGCAGCTCAGGTTGCGCTGCATCATGTCCTGGTCGAGGCCGCTCATCGCGATCACCGTGAAAACGCCCGCAAGGAACTGCTTGAAAAAGTAGCGTTTGTCGTTTATATCGTCGAAAAAGAAGACCTGCGAATAGTCGTGGACGGCGATCGTCCGCACCATCTGCCCGAAGCCGAGCTGCAGGTCGGACGCGATGTAACAGATACACAGTACGACGCTTACTACGAGGCAGAACGTTTTGAGCGAATCGGTCCAAATCAGCGATTTGACGCCGCCGCGGAACGTGTAGAGCCATACGAGCGCCATCGTGGCGGCGACGTTCCAGACGAATCCGATGCCGAGCGGTTCGAAAACCAGTAGTTGCATGACGATACAGACCAGGAAAATCCGCACGGCCGCCCCGAGCATTTTCGAGATGAAGAAGAACCATGCCCCGGTTTGTAGGAGGAGGCTCCGAAGCGGTTTTCGAGGTATTCGTAGATCGATACGAGCCGCATCCGGTAAAACAGCGGGATCAGCACGAACGCGATGATCAACTGCCGGTCAGAAACCCGAGCACCATCTGCATATACGAAAAGTGGCTGGTCGCCACCCAACCCGGCACCGAGATGAACGTAACCCCGAAATGCTCGATCCGATCATCGCGAAAGCGACCACGAACCACGGCGATTTCCGGTTGCCGACGAAAAATCCCTGGTTATCGGCCTTCCGTCCGGTCACGTAGGCGACTGCGAACAGCACGGTAAAATAAGCCGCGACGGTAACGAGGACTAAAGCAGGGGTCATATTCCGGATCGGTTTGGTATCCCAAAGGTACGAACTATTTTAGAAAAAACGGCAGATTACGAGACGGTTTCCGTCGGATTCCGTTCGGTGGGGACGAAAGGATTTCGCGGGTTTTCCGTTTTACGCCGAGTCGGGTAAAATTGCCTGTGCGGAATCGTCGGTTCCAGCGTTGAATATCGGATAGAAGCGAAAGGCCGTCCCCGAACCGGGAACGGCCTTTCGAACATCGGTTTCCGAACCGGAGGCGGTTATAGGGTCCGTAACGCTTCGTCCAGGTCGGTTTTGAGGTCTTCGACCGCCTCGATGCCGAGCGATAGCCGCAGCAGGTTCGGGAAGACGCCGGCTTTGCGCTGTTCGGCTTCGCTGAGCTGGGCATGCGTCGTCGATGTCGGGTGGATGATCAGCGACTTCGTGTCGCCGACGTTGGCCAGGTGGCTAATCAATTCCAGGTGGTTGATGACCTGAGCCGTCTGTTCGGCGTTGCCTTTGACGCGGAACGACAGTACGCCGCCGAAGCCGTGGCGCAGTATTTTTTTGCCAGCGCGTGGTGCGGACTGTTTTTGAGGCCGGGATAATTGACGCTTTCGACCTTCGGGTGTTTTTCGAGCCATTGCGCGATTTCCGCGTGTTGTCGACGCTGCGTTGTACTCGCAGCGACAGCGTTTCGAGGCCTTGCAGCAGTTGAAAGGCATTGAACGGGCTCAGGCACGGTCCCAGATCGCGCAGTCCCTTCGGCACGCGTGCGGATTGCGAACGCGATGTTGCCGAAGGGACCGTCGCTGCCGAATACCTCCCATATTTTCAGTCCGTTGTAGCTTTCGGTCGGTTCGCTGAAGGCCGGTATTTGCCGTTGCCCCAGTCGAAGTTGCCGCCGTCGACCACTACGCCGCCGAGGCTGGTGCCGTGTCCGCCGATCCATTTGGTCGCCGAATGCGTCACGACGTTGACGCCCCATTCGATCGGGCGGAACAAGTAACCGCCGGCCCCGAACGTGTTGTCGGTGATTACGGCGATGTCGTGCTTACGCGCCAGTTCGACGATCGGTTCGAAGTCGGGCACGTTGAACTCCGGGTTGCCGATGGTTTCCAGATAGATCGCCTTCGTTCTCGGATCGATCAGCGAAGCGATGCTCCGTACGTCGTCGCCGTCGGCGAACCGTACCTCGATACCGAAACGGCGCAGGGCGACTTTGAACTGATTGTGCGTGCCGCCGTAGATGTACGAGGTGCTGACGATGTTGTCGCCGGCTTCGGCGAGGTTGCTGATGGCCAAAATTGCGCCGACAGCCCGATGCGGTCGCTACGGCCGCCGTGCCGCCTTCGAGCGCCGCAATGCGGTCTTCGAATACGGCCGTCGTCGGATTGGTCAGTCGCGTGTAGATGTTGCCGAACTTCTTCAGAGCGAACCGGTCGGCGCCTTCCTGCGCGTCCGAAAGACATACGACGTGGTCTGGTAATGGGAACGGCGCGCGAACCGGTCGTGGGGTCGGGCGCCTGTCCTGCGTGAACCTGCAGGGTGTCGAAGTGATAATTTCTTTTGCTCATGGTTTTATTTTTTTGATTGGTTTGTGAATTCGGGATACAAAAAAATCCGGCTCGAAGGCCGGATCGTTATGATTGTGTCGTTTTGAATCGGTGCGGGGCAGACAAACAGAATCACATCCGGCGTAAGCAGGAAGACATGCACATACCCATCGTCATCCGGCAGGAAGCCCGGAGTGCTGCGAAACGTTCGTATGCGCTGTTGTTTGTCATTTCATTCATGTTCCTGCGGCAAATATATGCATTTCCCGTAAAGTTGGTGCGTTTTCCGCAAATTTTTTAATTTTTTTAGTTTCTGCAAACGAAAGGCTGCGCGTCTGTCAGGATTCGGACCAGATACGGGCCAGGTTTATAATGGTTTGCACGGCTCGTTGCATCGTGTCGACCGAACAGTACTCGAATTTGCCGTGGAAATTCATGCCGCCGGTAAACAGGTTCGGGCACGGCAGGCCCATGTACGATAGCCTCGCCCCGTCCGTGCCGCCGCGGATCGGACGCACGATCGGCGCGACGCCTGCCTGCCGCATCGCTTCCATCGCCTTTTCGATCACTTCGGATACGGTTCGATTTTTTCGCGCATGTTGTAGTACTGGTCCTTCAGCGTCAGGCGGATGACGCCTTCCCGTATTTCTCGCCGAGCAGCGCCACGGCGTCGGCGAGATAGCGTTTTTTCGCTTTGAACTTTTTGTGCGAATGGTCGCGGATGATGTATTCCAGCGAAGCCCGTTCGACCGTTCCTTCCAATCCGACCAGATGATAAAAACCTTCGTAGCCCTCGGTGTGTTCCGGACGCTGGGCGGCGGGCAGCAGCGCGTTGATTTCGCAGGCTACCTGCAAAGCGTTGATCATTTTGTCTTTGGCGTATCCGGGATGGATGTTGCGTCCCTGCACGGCGATTTCGGCGGCGGCCGCGTTGAAGTTTTCGTATTCGATCTCGCCTTCGAAGCCGCCGTCCATCGTGTAGGCGAATTTCGCCCCGAACCGCTCTACGTCGAAGAAATCCACTCCGCGGCCGATCTCTTCGTCCGGCGTGAACCCGATCCGGATCGTGCCGTGTTTCGCTTCGGGGTGGGTCGTCAGGTATTCGGCTGCGGTCATGATTTCGGCGATGCCGGCTTTGTCGTCGGCGCCGAGCAGTGTCGTGCCGTCGGTCACAATCAGCCGTTGCCCTTTGTAGAACGCCAGTTCCGGGAAATCGGCGGCGCGCATCGTGAGTTTGTCGTTCAGCGCGATATCGCCGCCGTCGTAGCGTTCGATAATGCCGGGGCGGATGTCCGACCCTTTCATATCGGGACTGGTATCGACGTGCGAAATGAAGCCGACGACCGGGGCCGACTCGCAGCCCGGCGTCGCCGGGATCGTACCGGTGACATAGCCGTTCGATCGATCTCGACATCGTGCAGTCCGAGGGTCGTCATCTCTTCGAGCAAGTGTTCAGCAGGGCCAGTTGTTTGGCCGTCGACGGATAGGTTTCGCTTTTCGGGTCGCTCTGCGTGTCGAAAGCGACGTATTTTAAGAATCGTTGTTCGAGGGTCATATTTTTATCTCTTTCGTATTAACTTCCGTTGTTCTTACGGGCCGAATCTCTTAAACTGTCGCGGACGAAATAGGCGATCAGCAGGATGTACATTGCAAGCGACAACACTTCGGCTCCCGTCGTGCCGTTCCATTCCGTAGCGAACCAGTCGGCTCCGAAATATTTCAGCAGGGCGCTCACGACGCCCATCAGCGCGCCTCCGCGATGAATCCCGATGCAATAAGCGTTCCGCGTTCGCGGGGGTCTTGTTCGTTTCGGCGTTTCGGCTGCGGCTGCCGACATACCAACTGACGAGACCTCCGACCAGCAGCGGGGCGTTCAGTTCCAGCGGAATAAACATGCCGAGCGCGAAAGCCACGCCGGAACGCCGATCATCGTCAGCACCAGCGCCAGCGCCGCGCCGGCGAAATAGAGCAGCCACGGCGTTGCGCCGCCTTCCATCAGCGGTTTGATGACCGCGGCCATCGCGTTGGCCTGCGGTGCGACCAGCGCGCCGTCGCCGGTGAAGCCGTAGGTTTTGTTCAGCACCATCATCACGCCGGCGACCGTTGCGGCCGAGACCGCCGTTCCGAGAAACTTCCAGCCCTCCTGTTTAGCGGGCGTCGAGCCGAGCCAGTAGCCGATTTTCAGGTCGGAGATGAAAGCGCCGGCCATGGCGAGCGCCGTGCAGACCACGCCGCCGATGATCAGTGCGGCGGTCATGCCGGCCGTGCCGCTGAGTCCGGCGCTGACCAGTATCAGCGAGCTGAGGATTAGTGTCATCAGCGTCATGCCCGATACCGGGTTCGTGCCGACGATTGCGATGGCGTTGGCCGCGACGGTCGTGAACAGGACGAGATGACAAAAACAATGGCGATCGCGATGCCCGCGTGGAGCCAGTTGTCCAGCAGTCCGAAGCGGAAAAAGATGAACGTCGTGGCCAGTACGGCGATCAGCACCGAGAGGATCATTTCATCGGAATGTCTCGCTGGGTGCGTTCGACGGTTTCGGCTCCGGCACGTCGGCCGCGCAGTTCGGTGACGGCCAGCCCGAGCGCCTGCCGGATGATGTTCGACGAGCGGACGATGCCGATGACCCCTGCCATTGCAATCCCACCGATCCCAATATGCCGGGCATAATTTTTAAAAATCATTCGGGCGTCATGTCGCGCAGCAGCATGGTGATCCCTTCGCCCACGGCGAGGGTCTGCCCGTCGGCGAAATGGCTGAGAAACGGGATCAGTACGAACCATACGGTGAACGATCCGGCGCAAATATAGGCCGCATACCGCAGGCCCACGATGTAGCCGAGACCGAGGACGGCGGCGCCGGTGTTGATCTTGAAAACGACTTTCATCTTGTCGGCCAGCGCTTCGCCCCAGCCGGTCATGCGGGTCGATATTTCTTCGGTCCACCAGCCGAAAGTACTGATGATAAAGTCGTAGACTCCTCCGACGAGTCCGCTGACGGCGAGCAGTTTGGCTTGGTTTCCCTTTTTTTCGCCGGAGACGAGCACTTCGGTCGTGGCGGTGGCTTCGGGGAACGGGAGTTTACCGTGCATGTCGCGCACGAAATATTTGCGAACGGGATCAGCAGCAGGATGCCGAGCATACCGCCGAACAGCGAAGACAGGAAGATCTGGTAGAACTGTGCTTCGAGCCCCAGAATGTAGAGGGCGGGCAGCGTGAAGATGGCTCCGGCGACGACGACCCCGGAACTTGCGCCGATCGACTGGATAATGACGTTCTGTCCGAGCATGTTGCGGCGGCCGGTGAGGTTGCCGACGCCGACGGCGATGATGGCGATCGGGATGGCGGCTTCGAAGACCTGACCGACGCGCAGACCGAGGTACGCGGCGGCGGCGGAGAAGACGACGGCCATCAGGATGCCGAATGTGACCGAGTAAGGGGTTACTTCGCGCGGTGCGGGCGTGTCGGGCATGACGGGGCGGTAGGTTTCGCCGGGGCGAGTTCGCCGTATGCGTTTTCGGGCAGCGAGGTAGTATCGGTTTTGTGCGGTTGTGCCATGGTTTTCGGGTATCTGTCATTCAAAGGTAGTTATTTTACGACAAATTCGGAAAACGGATCGGAATCGCTTGGTTTGCCATCCGCGTTGTTTTGCCGTAAGCTGTCCGCCGCCCGTCGGCCGAAAAGAGAGAGACCGGATCCTTGCGGAACCCGGCCTCTCTGCCTTGTTTATGAAAAAGTCGCCTTATTTTTTCAGCATCGCTTTCACCTGGTTGTAAACGTTCTCGCCCGAGAAGCCGAACTCCTTGTCCAGGACGCTCGCAGGAGCGGAATATCCGAAGTGATCGAGACCGTACACTTCGCCGTCGCAGGCGACCAGGCCGGCCAGCGTCACGGGCAGACCCGAGGTCAGACCGAACTTCGGCACGCCGCACGGCAGCACGCTCTTCTGGTACTCCTTGCTCTGGTCGCGGAATAGTCCTTCGGACGGAACCGATACTACGCGTACTTTCACGCCGTCGGCTTTCAGCTTTTCGGCGCCGTCTATCAGCGTAGCCACTTCCGAACCGCTCGCCAGCAAGATTACGTCCGGGTTCCGGCGCAGTCTTCGACGATATAAGCGCCCTTGACGGCCTGCATGGCTTCCTTGGCGCGGTCGCCGCTCGCTGCGGGCAGATTCTTGATATTCTGACGCGACAGGATCAGCGCGGTCGGACGTTCGTTTTCCATCGCGATTTTCCAGGCGGCGACGGTTTCGTAGCTGTCGGCCGGACGGAGTACGACGACCGAACGTTCGCCTTTGTGGTTGCGCAGTTGTTCCATCAGGCGCAACTGTGCTTCGTGTTCGATCGGTTGGTGCGTCGGACCGTCCTCGCCCACGCGGAACGAGTCGTGCGTCCAGACGTATTTGACCGGCAGGCGTTGCAGCGCGGCGATACGCAGCGCGGGTTTCATATAATCCGAGAATACGAAGAACGTTCCGCAGGCCGGAATTACGCCGCCGTGCAGCGCCATGCCGTTCATGATGCAGGCCATCGTGAACTCGGCTACGCCCGGTTGCAGGAAACGGCCGGTAAAGTCGCCTTTGACCATCGCATGCGTCTTTTTCAAAAATCCGTCGGTTTTGTCCGAGTTGCTCAGGTCGGCCGATGCAACGATCATGTTTTCCACATGCTCGGCCAGGTACGACAGTACGGCGGCCGATGCGGCGCGAGTAGCCACGTTGTCGCCGCAGTTGATCTTCGCATAGTCGATATCCGGAGCCTTGCCCGACAGGAACTGGTCGAGTTTCGCGGCCAGTTCTTTGTTGGCGGCGCGCCAATCGATTCTTCTTCTTTACGCAGCGCGTACCATTTTTTCAGCTCTTCGCGACGGCGGGCGTACAGCTCTTCGACGTCTTTGAAGATCTGGAACGGT